ATCTCTGATTCAACTTCCTTCTAGATTTTGTTCTGGGGATTGAGAGATCTGAAGCGAGTGAATTTGTCCCAGGTGGATAGACCTCGAGTGGACATTGAATGTGCTGGAAGAGGGGTCCAGTCATCTCTCATCCAGAATTATAAGAAAAATCCCAATTTCAGCACTTTGGTCAAATGGTTTGAAGTGGTGAGTTTTTCCTCCCCTCATGGAAGCAACATAAGGAAGAAGGGAATTGAAAGGACAGGCCCGATGGATCACAAGAAAATAATCTAATCCACCATTCTGTAGATATCATTTTGGATGCTCACTATGCTCACCTACTACTTCCACTGTTGCATTCCAATAACTGATATCCATGGAAAGATAGAAATCCCCTGTCCTGTCCATCTCCTTATCATTTCCCAGGCCTTCCTTCCCACCATATACAGGCCTGGAAGCCATCTTTTGCATTGGGCCTCCAGACCTGCCATATTTAGTGTTGTGGGAAATTGGGAGGGGGAATTGTATGGTGGGATAGATGCAGTCAAAATAATATTCCTTTCTCAGAGAGTCAAGGACGTCTCGCCCTGCACCTGGAGTTGTGTGACTGGGAGGCATCTCCAGTTGGGATGGTGCCTGATTGGACCATGTGATAGACATATGGGTGTTGGGCAGGGACTTGAACTTTCATCCGGGTGGGGAAAACCTGGAAACTTTCAGATTCAGGTTTTTCCAGACACCTCTAATAAAATGGAACTTTGAGGAACCTCAAGTCTTGGAGTCTTCTTTCGTTGGGGGTGTTACTTGGAACCCTGACACTAGTCCTCTTCTCCATTCTAACTACTGCAGTGGTGCAGTGGTTGAATGAAGTACTGCAGGCTACTTTTGCTGATTACTGGCTGCCTGCAATTTGGCAGACCAAATCTCACTAGGTTGAAGCTTGACTCAGCCTTCCATCCTTCTGAGGTGGGTAAAATGAGGACCCAGATTGTTGGAGGCAATATGCTGACTCTGTAAACCACTTAGAGAGGGCTGTAAAGCACTGTGAAGTGAGCCTAAGTGCTATTGCTATAAAGTGAGCATAGTAAATGGCATGAGGCTGAAATGTTAGACTATGAGGAATCCATATGCTCCTGCAATCTTTCCTAAGATTTTCCCATAGTGAAATGAAATTGAAAAAGCATAACATTTGTGTAACTCTCACTCTCACTCCCTGGACGGTAGAATACTTCCAATTCAAGGACATCACATATTTATTTGACTACAATACTGAAACAATGTAGGGGGGAAATCAGATTAGAAATATGAGTGCATTTCTCATAAGACGTTGGTGGCCTAACCATGCCCAAGGCAATAACAATGTTAAGACTAACCAGATATCGGTCTGACCCATATCTATTTACTAAAGACTAGTTAAGTGGTCTTGGAAGCAAACAATGTTTTGATGAATTGCAGATTCAGCTGTGCTCACACTGATCATCCAACAGACGTCTTTGGCACAGAATCTGATCCTCCTTGGCTGCAGTCTTACTTTTACATACCTGGCAAAGGCCCCTTAGAAATAAGTGGGTTTTACATTTACTTAAGTCATGCATAGGGTTGTGCTCTTAATGCAGAAACTGCTTATAATTTTACTGCCAGAGGTGGTATGCAAATATTTATACTTAAAAATAGCAGTTTTATATAAAAAAGGAAAGATTCATAAATGCATTTTATGTCTTGGAGCATTAATCTTACAGTAATAGCTTTCACATCCTTCAGCAGTAAATAGTTCCCCATCCCACCCCAAATTTAGATGTCATAATTAAATCTTATATTTAATCTAAGTCAGTGTAGTCATATTCTAAATGTCAAATTCTTATGAAAGTTTGGCAAACTTCATGTTTGGCATCAATCGTATCATTCAGCACAGGGCAACCATGGGTTAGCTATGACAAGATGACCTCTCTTGATAGCTGTTTGAATATCCCTAAAATTCTGTTTGAAAGTATTTTAGCTCACTCTGACAGAGATTCTTGTACATAAAGAAGAGGAGAGCTGGTTAATCATCGTCAACTTCTTTTTAATGACCCCATAATACCTTGTGGGGTGGAGTCTGGGCAGCTGAATGGAGCTGAGTGTTTACTGGCCAGATGCCTTTCCTGTCGCCAATGCAGAGTTTTATTCAGCAGAATATGTTAAGTAAGCTCCCCGTTGGGAGAGCGAATACATTCAGCGAGGCGTTGTGAGAGTTGTGTTGGAGAACACACAAACCAGCATACAGAGANTCTCACTCACCATCTTAAGGCTGGGTTTTGGGCTTAAAGTGTGATCAGAGCTGCCGTCTTTCTATAAATCTTGGTGTGTGTGTGTGGAGTGCTGGCTTTGTTTCAGTAAGTGGAATGATTGGTTGTGTGGTTGTATCATGACTGGTAGATTGGTGCTGATTGGTGCTGGCTGTGTGTCCATTGTTGTTTTGTCTTGTAATGGCCTGGGTGGTAGGTGGGGCTCATTTGTTGATTAGGGCTGGTTTCCAGATGTCTGGTAGGCGGAGGTATTGTCACGTTTATTCATGTTGTGGGAGTGTTTCTCTATTTTGATAGCTTCCATAATTATTCTCTTGTTGGAGTGTTCTGTTTTGAAGATTAACCTGGTTCCTTCAAAATTAATTTCATATTCCTGTAGCTTTAAGGTGTTAGAAAGGCAGGAAGTTTTTTCTTTTTTTCTGACTGCGTTCTTGTGTTCTGCGATGCGTGCTTTTATTCTCCTGTTTGTTTGCTCTATATATGTTGCAGGGCAGATTTTGCATGGTATTTGGTCTATGAACCAAAAAAAAACAAAAAACCTGATTGAAAAGGGGATCAGAATGCTGAGCTTGGTATAATAACCTTACATTTCAAATTCAAAACAAAGTGAATGTTTTCTGTTTTATATTAACGAACAAAAACCCATCCTGTAGAATGGGAGCCAAAAGAAGGTTTGTTGAGATGAAGAAGAGGTATTGGACCTCTTTAATTCTTTGCTACCTCCACCCACAGGTCTTGAATGAAACACTCTGTCCTACCTGGGACCAACTGCTGGTGTTTGACAACGTTGAGCTATATGGGGAAGTACATGAGATGCGGGATGACCCTCCCATTATTGTCATTGAAATCTATGACCAGGATACAGTGGTAAGAGAAGGCTGAGGCCCAGTGAGGCAATTGGTCCCCAATGTCCATAAAATGAGACAGAGGTGTTTTTTTTAACGTGTCTTATATAAATTCAGAAGCCTCCAGTAAGAATGTCTCTTCATATCCCTCAAGATTATCATTATATATTTGTAATTAGTATATATTATCATTATATATTTCTTAATATAATGTAAATATACTGCTCTTAGACAACTAAACTAGATAGTTAGCAGCAGGCTTGGGTCCAGGATCTTGCTTCTTTTAACAGCCCCATAATCCCTTGCGGGGTGGAATCTGGGTAACTGAATGGAGCTAGCAGCGTGTTTACTGGCTGGATGCCCTTCCTGTCGCCAATGTGGAGTTTTGTTCAGTAGATATATTCCCATTATGCCCAGAGAGAGAAATATCTGGCCTCTACCTAGGAGCAAACTCATGGCCTCCTGATTGTGAGGCGAGAGCTTCACCTCTAGGCCACCACACCACTCCAGGTCCAGGATCTTGCTGTTTGTCTAAAAATGTTCATCAGTGAGAAACAGCATCACTCCTGCACTGCTGTCCCCATATGCATTTTTCCTAGGTAAATAGTAAGCATTTATTTTTGAGGCTGAGACAAAAAGAGTAGTTTGCCTGGCTACTTTAATCCTGAACTTTTCATCTACTATTTTTTTCCCCCTGAGGGTGGACTGGAGATCAGGATCTCATAGTCTTTGCCTTGATGTTTTGAACAAAATTTTCAACTGGTGGGTACTCAGCAGTGGCTCTTTGGAGACCCTGGGAAGGATTAAGATGGTGATTTCTGTATATTTTCAGGGGAAGGCTGACTTCATGGGACGGACATTTGCCAAACCTGTGGTAAAGATGTCAGATGAGGAATACTGCCCTCCACGTTTCCCGCCTCAGTTGGAATATTACCAGATCTACCGGGGTAACTCAACTGCAGGAGACCTGCTGGCTGCCTTTGAACTCCTTCAGGTAATGGAATGAACGGCGGTGTTTTAGAGTACAAATGGATAGTATCGAGCTTGAAACCTCATTAGGCAAATTAAAAGATTAACAGAGTTGGAAAGGTCCTTGTAGGTCATCTAGTCAAACCCCGTGCTCAAGCAGGAGACCCTACACCATTTCTGACAGATGGCAGTCCATTCTCTTCTTGAAAGCTTCCAGTGATGGAGCTCCCATAACTTCTGAAGGCAAGTCTTCCATTGGTTGATTGCGCTCACTGTCAGAAAATGTCTCATTTCCAGATTGAATCTCTCCTTCTTCAGATTCCATCCATTATTCCTTATCTGGCCTTCAGGGGCTTTGGAAAATAGCTTGATCCCTTCCTCCACCCCCTCAAATATTGAAACATGTGTCACCTAGTCCTTCTTCTCACTAGACTAGCCATGCCCAGTTCCTGCAACCGTTCATCGTACGTTTTAGTCTCCAGTCCCCTAATCATCTTGGTTGCTTTTCTCTGCACTTTTTCTAGAGTCTCAACAACTTTATATAGTGTGGTGACCAAAGCTGGATGCACTTTTCTAGATGTGGCCTTACTAAAGCTTTATAGAATGATATTAGTACCTCACTTGAACTTGATTATATCCCTCTGTTAATGCAATTTAGGAGTGCATTGGCTTTTTTGGCTGCGGCAGCACACTGCTGGCTCATATTTAACTGGTTGTCCACCAAAACTCCAAGATCCCTCTCACAGTTACTGTCATTAAGGCTGGTTTCACCCAGTCTATATGTGTACTTTTGGGGTTTCTTGCCTAAGCGTTCATTTGCGTAAGTGTTCAAAATGCATTTGTTTCAGAGTTAATTTGGGTGTAAAACATTCTGGGTGAGGGAAGTGGATGGGACCCAAATTGGGATGGGAGTTGTCCCCTGCCCTGTCTATTTAGGTTTAGGTTTAGGTTTCGTTTTATTTATATGCCGCCCTATTCCCAGCGGGACTCAGGGCGGCTCACAAACCCAAGAGGGGAAGGGAAACACAAGAACTACAAATACAAGCATTTAAAATAATCAACAGACATACAATCGAGAGGGGAAGGGAACTCATCAACCCCAGGCCTG